GCCCCCTGGATGAGCTGCCTGCAGCTCCGTCCCTCTCCAGGCCCCAGGTCCCATTCACTGCCCAGACTGGATGGCACCTGCCCCAGCCCCTGCCCCACTCCCTCCTCACCATGAGGGCCTCAATCTACCCTTTCCCACAGACTTATTGTCTGGATGCTGCTCTCCAAGTTGCTGGGCTTTAAATTGGCTATTGGATTGGTATCGGCTGATATGGCTGGTTAATAATTGCTTATCGGTGTCAGCCAAGAAAATCTTTATCAGTGCACCTCTAATTTACATAGAAACCTTTTGTTAAGTCAGCTTACAGTGTGACAGGATTTAACTTCCCCAATCTTTCAAAAATCTATTGTTGTGTCAGCTGATTAATATGCCAGAGAACACTTAAAAGGTTGTTTATCATCAAGGACAGTGTCACTGTTCTAACTGGAACATGTGGTATCAAGTTTTTCAGACTTGCACTAAAATGGGATATGAGACCTGAATCATGAATAAAACCACTGAATATTGAGAGTGTACAGCTGCTATAGCAGTGTGCCAAAAAGCAAGATGCTTCATTTAAGTGTGTTAGCTTTCGAGTATGAATAATCTGAGATAGTATGGCTGCTTATGCCTCCCTGGTTCCATTCTGTATATCTAGTGCTAGGTCCACTGTTCATTTGCGTACCTCATGCCCAGTAGAACCATGCAAGCAGTTGTATATGAGCTAATTTCAATTCTCCCTCTCTCTTTCATATGACATTTTAGGATTGCAACATTCATAGATTAATATTTAAATTTCATAGCCATTTGACTGCTTCAGTGGTAGCTGCATGGGTTGCTTTTAGATTGCCATTAAGTGATCTAATTGGGCAGTGGTCCATGATGTGTTGCACAGTCTGAAAAATAGCACCACAAAAATTGCAATCCAGACTCTCTTTGATTCTCCGTTTATGGAGTAGGTTTCCACATTTTCCATGAAATTCAGATGCAATTCAGGGAGGACCAAATCTTTCTCTGTAGGTCAAGTCTTGGTTGGGGAATTTCAAGTTACAAAGCCACACTTGTCACCCAGCCTCCTAGATTCCAGAGCAAGTTGTTTATCAGCAAGCGTTTGTAGTCATACTGTTTCAGTGAGTCGAACACAGATAAAACTTCAGGGCTTAATTGTTCTGTTCTTTCCTTTTTGATGAAGGAACAAGCTAAAGCCAAAAAACAAACTCCACCTCCATCTCCTGTTCCACAGCCAGCTGAAGAGAAACAGCCCTCAAGCCCAGTCTATGAGGTTAGTTGTAATCACTTTTATATAAAAGGAAATGTGAATCGGCTATGCTTCTACACTGTAGCGTTCCTATGTCAATATGTAATTTCTGGCTTTGTTTTTAGGAAATTGTTTCCAAGAGTTAATTGGTGAACCTTCTCTGTGTTGTAAGATGTTCTAATACAGTGGTGCTCAAACTTCCTCCCCAGAAGGCTGTGTGACATGGGGCCAGTTTGTGGGCCTGATTCTGTGGATGGGGTCATTCCACAGGCTGGATCCAGTGCAGGGTCAGTCCACAGGTGTGATCTGGTGCACTGTCTTGGTCCTGTGTGCTGGACCCAGGCACAGCACAACCCTGCAAATTGGTGCAGTTTGGCACGTGGGCCAGGTCACCTGGCCCATAGGGCTCCCTATGCATCTGGAAATTTGGCAGTGGGGAAACAATGTCAGCATTAATTGCCATGACTTAGCCACAATGGGCGCGTCCAGACATGTAAGCACGTGCGCTTGCAGCAGTTCAAATAGAAGCGGTGCAAATTTGAGCCGGGGCTTTTTGCCTCAGCGCGCATGCTCGGACATGCACTCTGTTGTGGAGCAAATTGTGCCACTTGGGGCAAAATAACCCTGCCTGGCTCCTCCTGGATCTTCAGCCAGAGGGAGCTAGAGCCCGGGGCCAGCACCTGTGCTGTCCCCAGCAATATAAAAAGCTGCCCTGTCCTGGCCCCAGCAGTATAAAAAGCCTCCCTGGCAAGTAGCTCAGGGCTACTCGCTCTCAGGAGCTTCTGGGGCCCAGCCAATTGGTACCTGGGGACACTACTCCTTGTGCCAGCTGGACTGCTGAAGCAGCCCTGAGAGTTCCCTGCACCCTCTACCCACTGCAGCAGTCTGGCAGTGGGGGATGGTGCCTGGCTGTGACCTGCTGTGCACCTGCCAGACTCAGATGGAGGCCACAGAGCCAGTAGAGGCATCTGCCCCTCTGGGCCAGCTGCCAGTGGACTACAGTTGCATGGGTGACCTTTATGCAGCACGACTGCCATTTGTGCCCCCTGCCTGGCCGTCTGGGCAGCTGTTCTGGGTGTGGTGGCGTGCTATGAACTGTCAGATCATGTCCTCCTGGCCCCATTTGTCCAGGAGATCAGCCACAGCCAGATGGGTCCAAGGTGCCAGCTCTGAGCAAGCAGGGTCCTGCCCCTGGCCTCCCTAGCAGGAATTCTGGTGTTCCCTATTAGAAAGCTGAAAAATCCCTGATTAAAAAAAATCCCAAAATCACTCTCTAGAATACCCCCATATCCATGTTCCTCCACAAGTAAAACAGAAGACCAATATAAAGAGAGAGACAGTGATCAGTTGGACAATGTTTTATTGATATATCTACAGTGTTAAAGCAAGTCTCTTATCATAATAATACAGTGAACTCTAAGTACAGGTTTCATGATTTCATGAATACATATTTTGCTGCCCTCCCACAGGGCGATGGCCCCCACACAAGGGGCTGGTCCCCCACACAAGGGCTTTGGCCCCCCAACAGGGGGTTCAGCCCCCACACAAAGGGTTCAGCCCCACCCAACAGAGGGCTACACCTCCCCAACAGGGGGTTCTTCCCCCACACAAAGGGTTTGGCTCCCAAAAAGGGGATTCAGCCCCCCAAAAGGGGTTCAGACCACCAACAGGGGGTTCGGCACTCTCACAATGGGTACAGCCCCTCAACAGGGGGTTAATCCCCTCACAAGGAGTACTGCCCCCCAATGGGGGCCAAATGGCCTCCACAGGGGCTCCTAGCCCCCGATTGCTGCCCCACTTGGCCCCATCCCCCACCAGCTGCTGCTGCCCCACCTAGCCCCACTCCTCCGGACCCCCCCCAATGGCTTCCCTACCCATCCCCACCCTCCAACTTGCACCCCAAGGCTACCCCCACAACCCCAGGCACCATCACTTAAAAAAAACAAACCAGAAAAAAAAACAGAAAAAAATGGGGTAAAAAAGCCTCTGCTTACCTCAGAAGCAGGGGGGTAGGGGGGGCTCCAGGGCCTCCTGGCACAGCCCCGCCCAGGCAGCACAGGGCAGCGGAGGGGGTAGCAGGGCCTGGGCTGGGGTCACTGGGGCTGTCATCCTCCCCTGCTTTGTGCGGGCAGGGCCCCAGGCAGCAAGACGCAGCCAGATTGCAGGTAAGTGCCCGTGGAGGTTTTTTTTAAACTATGGCATGGGGGGGCAGG